TCTCGACGGAGTGCTGCTTGGGGCTGACTGGAAGAAGAGCTAGGTCGACGAGGCGCTCTACTTCAAGGTCGGCGACGAAGGGATGACCTACTCGGTGCCGGTCTACGTCGACGACATCCTCGCCGCCAGCAGCACCACCACGATGCTGAAGGAGCTGAAGGAGCTGCTGGAGGACGCCTTCGAGCTGCGTGAGATCTCCCCGGTTGTCAAGTACCTCGGGCTGGAGGTCGTGCGCGACAGGCCCGCAAGGAAGCTGGGGCTGCACCAGCAAGGCTACGCCGACAAGCTCCGTAGGTGCTTCATCGACGAGGAGCAGGGCGGTTGGATCCCGAATATGCCTATCTCGGTCGACGCCTACGCCGAGCTGACATTCAACGACGAGGAGGCGCAGGAGCGCGAGGAGGAGGAGTACCGGCTGAAGGTTGGCTCGCTGCTGTTCGCGGCGACGACAACGAGGTCGGACATCGCGGTTCGCCTGCAGCAAGCTGGGGAGCGGCCTTATGGTGAGGAGCGACCAGCATGAGCGCAAGGTCGATCGCTGCCTTCCCTACCTTGATGACACCTGCGACACCGCCATGGAGTTTGGTGGTGGACCAGAGTCGCTGGAGCTGATCGGCTACACGGATGCCGATGACGCGGGCGACTAGCAGAATTGGGCGAGCACGGGCGGCTATGTGTTCGTCTTCGGAGGTGCCGTGGTCTCTTGGTCGAGCCAGTGCATAAAGTGCGCGACGCTCTCCTCGACCGAGTCGGAGTACGTCGCGGCCATGGACGCCTGCAAGGAGGGGCGTTGACTTCGCTTCCTCCTTGCAGAATTCAAGCTGCTTGACCCTGGAAAGCCGACCGTCCTCTGCGTAGACAGCAAGTCGGCAATTATGGTCTCTGAGGGCTTGGGGCCGATAGGCAACCTCAAGCACATGGAGCGACGCTACGCCTGGCTGCAGCACATGGTGAGGCGCGGGATGTTCGTGCTGAAGTACATCCCGAACTCCGAGCAGCCGGCCGACTTCCTGACGAAGGCGCTAAATTTTCCGGCTTTCAACCAGTGCTCTGTCGCCATCGGCCAAGTTCGTCTGGCCGACGTCGGCGATGGCGTTGATGATGTGTAGCAGTAGGTGCCGTGCCCTCTTGCACGGCTAGTGCAGTGTCAGCATGTTATATGTGGGGTGCACGCCGAGAATGAGTTTTCTCCGTGGAGTACTGCCGTGTGAGCGTGGCAGGGGAGTGTTAACGGGAATAAAATGTTGGCCCCGCCCTTGCTTGGGCAACGCCGACAACTTGGTCGGATGTACGGGAGAAGCAGCCGACTGTTCACAGTGAGGGAGATGCTTGACGGGCTTCGTCGAGCTTCATGGTGTCACTGTGGGGTTGCCGTCGACCAGGGGTGCTCGACGGGCGCATCTGACTGGGCTGGGCAACGGGTGGGCCGTCCACCAGGAGTGCCGATTCGACGGGGAGGTCGAAGGAGCAGTTCGTCAACCTGACATGTGAGCAGCGGTCGACGAGGGGAGCTCAGCAATATCAGCTGTCAGTTCTGCTCGATGGAAGGGGTCCGTCGACCAGGGGGCAGCTCGACGGGAGCTGCGGTCGACTAGGGCACTTGGTGGTCGACCAGAGCACCTGTGGTCGACCAGGTCGACAAGGTAACCTACTCGGCGAGTTCTACGGAAGCATGTGAACATCGTCGAGGTCGCGATGGCAAAGACGACTTCGGGCTGGTATCCCAAAGTCGATGTGGCTCGTCAGGTGCAGACAACAGCCGACGGATGCACAGAAATGCAAGTCGGGCCAATCGTCTGCACGCACCTGTGAGCGTGCGCACTGCTGCCAACTATGAGTGCACCGCTGGACAGCCGTATTGCCACAGTGTTGGCACGCCATTGACCTGCAGTGTTGGCAGGTCGCCTTTCTGCAGTGATGGCGCGGCTCCTCTACGCAACGTTGGCAGGCGGCCGACCATGCAGTGCTAGCGGCCGACTAGGCTAGCTGCAGAGTTGCTAGGTGCCTGATGTAGTCATTGCTGTCATTCCTTGTTGATTCATTCTGTAATTCTCAATTTTGCTAGTGGAAACTCTTGCCGGTTTCTCCCGTGAATGTGCAATGAACAAAGCAAAGCTATGATCACTCCTAGTAGTTCGTGCCGACCCCCATGGTCTAGCTCACTACCTTTGTAGAGTGTCTCTCCGCATGGTGCGGTGAGTGTGGATTGATATGGGTTGTGCACTTGGGCATGGCTCAATCCAGGGATGGCTACTTTGGGACCCATTCACCAAGAAGTTCTTGGTGAGCACGGACTGCAATTTCATGGAAAACCTGATATACAAGGATTGGAAGGCGGAAAATGAGGCCCAGATAGGTGTGCGGTTTGGGGAGGTGAAGAGTTTCGGCTTGGAGCATGTGGAGCTGCCTTTGGAGTTGAGCAGCGCCATCACCATCACAAGGCAATCTCCTCTTGTGAATGGGGAAGAGGAGGCCAAGAATGGAGAGAAAGAAGATGAGGAGGTGCAGCAAGAAAGCGAGCGTGCACCGACACTTTCTTCTCGCACTACGAGCGCTCCACGGATTCGGGTCACTCCGCAACAACGTCAAGATAGCCTTCAGGTCCCTGCAGCTGAGCAAGAAAGGGGTAAGAGGGGAGTTCAAGCCCCTAATAAGCTGCCATATGATGCGCCGGGAAAGTCGAGCAAGTCAGCCTTGATTGGAGCGGCAATGATGGTTAGAGATGACAAGGAAAGTGAGTACAAGGACTGTGCCTTTGCGTTCTTCTCTCCGGTGGAGATGCTTGGGAAATCAACAACTCTCAAGAAGGCCTTGGAGAGTAGTGATGCTGAGGAGTGGAAGAAGGGAATGGAGAGTGAGCTGAAGAGCATCAAGGATAACGACATGTGAGAATTGGTGGAGCTACCAGAGGGGCGTAAGGCGATTACGTCCAAGTGGCTCTTCATGATCAAGTCGGACGCCGATGGCAAGATCGAGCGCCACAAAGTTAAGGCTTGTAGCCAAGGGGTACCAGCAAAAGGAGAAGGTGGACTACAAGGAGTTGTTTGTTCCTGTGGTCAAGCCGACGACCCTGCGAACCCTACTCGCGTGGGCTACCATCAAAGGATGGGTGTTGAAGCTGATGGACGTGACAACCGCGTTCCTCAACGGCATTCTCGAATAAGAGATTTTCATGGCGCAGCCAGAAGGGTTTGATGATGGCAGTGGCAGAGTTTTGAAGCTGAATAAGGCCCTCTATGAGGTGAAGCAGGCTGCTAGGCGATGGTACTTGAAGCTGTGGAAAGTGTTTAAGGAGATCGGCTTCGCTCCCTTAACGGCCGACCACTCCTTGTTCATGCTTGGCGAGGGGGAGCAGAGGAGCTTCATGGTAGCCTATGTGGATGACATCCTTATCTTCTCACCCTCCTCTGACCTTAAGAAGGAGGTGATGCTGAAGCTTCAGGACAAGTTCAAGAGCAAGGCACTTGGCAACGTGAACTTCTACCTCGGGCTTCATATCGAACATGGAGAAGCGGTACATGCGGGTGCATCAACGCAAGTACTTGGAGGCCTTTGCTGCCAACTTTTGGCAGGGTGAAGGCCATGTGGCTACTTCATTCTCTTTTGGGTTCAAGTGTGTAAAGGGACCAGAAGAGGGTGTTGGAGAAGAGGAGAGGCGCCGATTTCACTTGTTGGTGGGCAGCCACATGTACGCGGCGGTAAACACTCGAACGGGTTTCACCTTTGCTACCAGGCAACTGGTTAGGGCTGTGCAATTCCCTAATGAAGAGCAGGTAGCAGCTGGAATGGGGGTGGAAAATTATCTTGGCCAAACACCGACTGTTGGGCTGCAATACTCAGCGGCGACGCAAAGGCGCCAAAAGAGCGCGGATGGTGTTGAACCCGGACGTTTGTTCCTCACTGCCTTCTCCGATGCCTCTTATGCATCGGAACTAGAGGACATGACAAGTGTGAAAGGCTTCATAAGTTGTGTTGGTGGAGGCCCAATTGCTTAGGAGAGCAAGAAGCAGGTGGACCAAGCATTGGGCTTGGTGGAGTCCGAGTACATGGCACTCTTCCGTGCCGTACGGGAGATTGTGTGGCAGCGGCATTTGTTGGCTGAATTGGGGGAGGAGCAGCAAGGATCTACCCTCTCTACTATGACAGCCAGGGTGTCATTGCACTTGCAAGAAACCCTGTGTTGCACGGCCTCGCCAAGCACATGAGGGTGAAATTGCATTGGACGAGGAGCACGGTGGCCGCGGGTGAAGTTGAGTTGAGCTATGTGAATACAACGGGGCAACAGGCAGACATGATGACCAAGAGGCTGGTGGAGCAGCAGCATTGGAAGTGTTGCAAGCTGGCTGGGATGGCTTTGAACTGAGAGAGCAAGATCCTAAGGCCAACAATCCGAGGGGAAGTTTGTTGGTGCAACCCGTGTTGTCCGTGTGCGTGCATGCGTGAGTGCATGGAATGGTATGAGGGCATGAAATAATACATATTTCATGCTTATTATACTGTGTGAATGATGAGTCATAATGTTGAATGTGTGTGTTGAGTCAATTGCGAGTTATTGCAAGTCGCGTGTCACGCGGTCGTTTGTGTCTCGTGCGCGGTTTCTATTTGTCGTGGGTCGAACGTTTGGCGTGTGTGCAGCAGACCCTTCAAGAACTCAAGAATGAGTTTCTCATGAAGAACCAGAGCCTTGGTTTCAAGATTCATGTGATCTCGAAGTCCGCGAAAAAATGTGTTGACTTCAATAGTGTGAATAGTTACATTTCTTTGTGTAGTGTAACATTTCACTTGGTGTAGGCCCTTGTAACTATGACAATGCCCCCCACTCACCTCGCCTCTTGCCATCCCGTTCCCCCTCTTGCCATCCAGTTCCCCCTCTAGCCATCCCGTTCCCCCTTGTGCCAATTCGTCCCCCCTCTTGCTATCCTGTTCCCCCTCTTGCCATCCTGCTCCCCCTCTTGCGATCCCATTCTCCCTCGTGCCATCCCGTTCCCCCTCTTGCCATCATGTTCCCCCTCTTGCCATCCCGTTCCTGCCATCCCGTTCCCCCTCTTGCCATCCCGTTCCCCCTTGTGCCATCCCGTTCCTCCTCTTGCCATCCCGTTCCTCCTCTTGTCATCCCGTTCCCCCTCTTGCCATCCCGTTCCCCCTCTTGCCATCCCGTTACCCCTCTTGCCATCCCGTTCCCCCTCTTGCCATCACATCCCCCCTCTTGCCATCCCGTTCCCCCTCTTGCCATCCCGTTCCCCCTCTTGTCATTCCGTTCCCCCTCTTGCCATCCCGTTCCCCCTCTTGCCATCCCGTTCCCCCTCTTGCCATCCCGTTCCCCCTATTGCCATGGTGCCATGGTGCACACGCACTTCTATGCTCACTTCCCTCATCTATCCTCTAGCCCCTTATGCATATCATCCCCACCTCCTTCCTTCCCCTCCCCCCTCCCTTCTCTTCCCCCCCTCCCTCCCCCTCCCCCCTCTCCCCTCTCATCCCCGTTCAGCCCATCCCTGACACCAGTGCATATTGCTGGTGGAGGCCATAGGGGGCGTTGTATCGGTGGGGGCGTTGCCCCGATCCTTTTCTGGGGCATGTGGTGGTCTTGTTGGAGTAGGCTAGAGATTGCTCTAGCATTTATCATAATGTTTTTTTGTTGTTTCGCTATGTTTAGAGCGAGTTACACTTTCGGTTCAGTTTAGGCTAATTTAATAGTTTCCAGCACAAAATAAACACCCTCAATTCAATTAGGGTTTCCTACATTTGTATCTCGACGCTCGTGTTACTCAATTATTCTCTCTAGCCATGGCTCCAGGTACTATCTTAACAGGTCGCCCATCCCCTTCCGCACGCACCTCATCATTGTCATCGGCACTCTCATTGGCCAGGGTGACCCTGACCCCAACCCCTCAAAAGAAAGGGTATGTTCTAACGCATCTCATCCACAGTGCTGAAGTGGAAATGGTTGTTATAATCACAGTATGCTTCAATGTGCCTAAAACGGATGATAGATTGCGAATGTGGATTTCTGCACAGCGGATTTGAACGTTCATAGCGATCTGGTCACAGCTCGAAATGACCTGATTCAAATTGGATCTAGAGCGTCTTAACGTCGCTTATAACAAGCAATTTAGATCGCACGATTTCATTAAGAATTGTTGACACAGCGTGGGTTTGAACGAACGGCACTATGGCAGCCACTATAGTCATATAACACACAATTAGGAAGAGTTAAGGAGTTGGGAATGACTCCCAGCTCCTACAAACCCCCAAGAGCCGAGGTACAGTGCCACACTGTCCCCAACCACGAAGAGTCTCGAAACTACCCTCCACAAGGGCCTACTCCAAGTAATATGTTACGCTACACAAATAATGTAACTATTCTCAATATCCCGAAGTGTACACAAACCAAGGCTCGAAATCACTTGGATCTTGAAACCAAGGCTCGGGTTCTTCATCACAAACTCATCCTTGAGTTATTGATGGGTCTGTTGCACACATCTGCGACACGCCGAACGTTCGACACAGGACAAAATAGAAACCGTACACGAGACACATGACAAAATAGAAACCGCGCGCGAGACACAAATGACCGCGTAACACGCGACTAGCGATAACTCACTATTGACTCGACACACACACTCGACATCATGACTCATTATGCACACAGTATTTTAAGCATGAAATATATATTATTTCATGCTCTCATACCATTCCATGCACACACGCATGCACACACACGGACAACAAGCCGAGTGCAAACTGTAGGGTTGCACCAACAATTGTGAAGTGGCTGGGAGTGTGAGAGTTGTGTTTCGCTGATATAAGACGGACGCCGTGGGCACGTGCACCGAGGGGTTGATTAATTGGCGTCTCATGCATGCTTGCATAGGTGCATGCCTGCATGGGTGCATGGGTGCATGCCTGCACGTCTACATGAGTGCATGGTTGTTCGTGTTTGCAAGCTGTATCGTCTTCTCTGATCGATGTCATTCCTCGCATGCCTGCTTGGGTGCATGCATTTCCCTTCTTCTCCTCATCCCTCTGTAACGTGCCAATGTCATTCATGCATGCATGTCATGCCATCCCATGGCCCTCGTCTCATGCCATCTCATGCCATGCCATCTAATCCCATTTCTCCCCTTTGCCTCCAATCCCATGCCGCGCCATCCCTCCATGCAAATGGCTGCAATGCATGCGGAGTAAGTGAGGGCCTTCATGTCCACTCGTCTCCTCATCTGTATCCTCCCATCCCGCACGTACCATGCCATCCCATCCCATGTGCTTGCGGAGTACGTGAGTGCATTGGAGCGCCTCTTCTAGGTGGGCTACCCCACCACACGACTGGAGATCCTGTGATGTCATTGCTGCTGTACAGGCTGTATGGGGCTGTGCAGGCCTAGGCACAACCCAACGCACATGAAGCGCTGTGATGGCACTGCTCACGAGTCATGAGGCATCACCTTATGCTCCTGTGTGCTGCTGTCACAAGCCACCCGCTGCAATCGTCCCCCTTGGCACACCACACCACGCACACAGCCAGGATTCCCACTGCCAGCAGCTCCTCTCACACTTGCTCCAGTGGAAATAGCTCATGCACTAGGCTGCGCGAGGACTCCCCTGATTCCCATCTACTGTACACAGTTCTCCAACCAGCTATGCCATTCCTGCAAGTGGAAACTAGTTAGCCATGTTCGGTATCAAGTTGGAAACCAAAGTACGTGTTTGCACTTGCAGCTGCACTAAAATGAAGCCTCGCCACTGCAAATGTCCTTAGTATTTGCATCACTACTGCAGAAAGCATCACTACTGCAGAGAGCATCACTACTGCACAGAGCATCACTACTGCAGAGAGCATCACTATGGCAGAGCATGAATGGCCAGTATCCCTAGCAACATGAAGCATGTAACAGGGCGAGGAGGTCAGCGCCTTCCCTTGAAGTTTTTCTTGCTGCCCTGACGCTTTTTCTTGTGCCTCTTGCCGTGCACTCGTCTTGACCCGCTTGTATCCTCCTGGGCATCATGGGCCCCAGACTCATTGGGAGCATCAGCAGCACCATGGCTGCTGCCAGCAGGTGCTAGCAGCTGCCGTGCCTGTGAGTGGGTGGACACTGTGCCCACCTCCCACGCCAACCTACCAGACGGGGGACGGCACGGGCGGGGGGACGTGGATTGATTCGTCAAATTTCAGAGAAGCACGGACCTGGTTTGCAAGCATGCGCGGGATGATGGTGTGCATTTTGAAGCGGGAACAGAGACGTGCGGGTTGGTGCAGTGAGGAAAAAGAGCAAAAAGGGGAGGCAACAGAGGGAGGGGAAGAAGGGGAGAGGGGAGGATTGAAGGGGAGGGTTGGGAGAAGATGGGAGGAAAGGGGGGAAGGGTAGGGAAGAGGAGGAAAGGGAAAGAAGGGGAGGAAAGGAAGGGAGAGAATTAAAGATGCATGAGTGGGTAAAATGGGTCAAAGCATGAGAGGGTAACATGCGTGCGTGCATGAGTGGGTAACATGGGGGAATGCACAAGTGGCTAACATGGGTGAATGCACGAGCAGTCAACACCAAGCAGTTGAGCAGCCAACACCCACCAGTTGAGTAGCGCAATGAGTAGGAGAGTGAGCAGCAGCAGGAACAACACATGGTACAGCATCTCACTGCTGCCACCTTCCACTGTGCTGCCGCTCCCAGTCCCACTGCTGCTGCTGTCGCCCACAGGTGGGCGGGAGTAGCGCCAGGCAGCGGGCAGCAGGGCGGCGAAGGAGAGCAGCAGCCCCACCAGGATGATGTTCATGAGCACCAGTGTGGGGCGCTGAGGTGGGGGAGAGATGGGGGGGTGGGGAAGAGATGGGGGGGGGGGATTAAGGTTGCTGTGAGGGAGGGTGGGTTCCTTGAGATGGTGGAGATGGAAGAGATGGCAGGATGAGGAACAAGGAGGGAAGAGGGAGTGCAATTGTAAGAAATAGAATGTGGGGACAGTGAAAACGATGACAGGAAGCAAGTGGCAGGTATGTAAAGTAGGGGGAACAAAAGACGCATCATAGAAAAGTGAAGGCCTTGAAAACGATTGCGGAGGACTTCAAAATCCAAAAAGCAGCAAAATACAGGCTTTGAACCTGACGTGAGTCGAACAGGCAACCTTCTGATCTGAAGTCAGACACGCTTCCATTTTATCTGCAGTGTTATATTTGTACAGAGGATACAAATCAAATCAAGTACAATCAGATGACTAACGAGCAATACCTACTACCCTAGGTTGAGACCCCAATGAGGTCTCAAGAACCAACACCAAGGTACGCAAAATCAGCCAAGGAAGGTGGGGTGGGTTCTGGTGGCGGGAAAGGTGTGTCAGTGCTGTAGCGAATTTGTGTTCGACGGTAAATGGTCCTGGCCTGCTCGCGCCGATGCACCAGAGAAATCCTCTTGAAGTAGCTCGTCTCCAAAAGCTCTGGGATAAGGTCGGATGTACCACCCATGTCCCGGAGCCGTGTCGCTCCCCGTCGGCTGCAGTCCTTGATGAAGCTAAGGAATGACATACCGAAGCAACCAAAGGTTTCAAGGACAAGAGGAAGGAGTTTTACGTCTGGTCGGTGGTGTAACGTGGGCGCATACAGGGTCCGCTTCTCGGTTTCGCGAGCAGATGCGGCTGAACCGATGACGGATGCAGTTTTGGAGTTTGGGGGGCCATTCTGGGGATCTGCGACCGAAATATCTAATGCCCATGTTGTCCCCGAGCTGATGCTACGGCAACTGATGTCGGGGCAGCGTCCTGCAAGAAGGTGGGAATCCTCCAGCTGCACAACATAATCAAGCTCCAACGTGATGCGGTGAACCTCATGCTTGATAACGTCGTGAACCCTGGTAGGCTTTTTAGCAGATGGACAGCAGAGGACATGTGAGACGATTGAAGGATCCGTGAATGACGAGCCACAAGTGCATGTCCGGGTGGATGTGAGGTGTGGAATGGGGAGACCAAGACGAATAGCAGCTGCAATGCACCACTCTGTGGATGAAAGCTACATGTGCGGAGAACATGGAGCCACAGTGAGCCAGTCACCAGCATGGGGCCCTTGGAGGGAGGTCAAACGGGCCAAATGTTGGGTGGAGGTTACTGTGGATCGCACGCGCTCGAGCATGACAGCGTCAAGGTGTTGTGAAAGGTAGGAATACAGCTTCTGTGGGTAGCCAGCGTGGAGTGCAGGCCAAGTGGGGAAGTGCTGTCGAATGGATGGATGAAGTTTGGATAAGGCTTTAGGAATGCATGAGTCAAGGCGATCCATGGTGTCTGAAGTGATTAAGGGGCGGAAAATGTGAGAGCCGTTGATGATGAAGCATGAGGAGAGCAGTGAAGCTGTCTGTGCCCAATTGCACAAGTAACTGAGAGTAGCAGTTGCAGCTGATGATCGGAGGCCAAACCCTCCAAGGCGAATGGGAAGGCATGTCTGTTGATGTGCTGTGGCAGTGTGGTCAAATGTAGGGGGCCAGTAGTCAGAGCCAATGAGGCGAACAAAATGGTCGAGCAAGCTGTTGTCCCAGTCAGTATAGAGCTCATCTATCTCAGGGAAGGGTGCAACAGTACGGAGGAGGAATGAGGGACGAGCGGAGACGCAGAGAGAAAGGATGCGAGAGGCAGTCTGAGGATCATGAAGGTCATGTAGAAGAGGCAGAGATGAGGAGAAAGAGTGCAGCTTGTCCTGTACTGTAGAGATGATGTGGGTATCTGAACCAATCGGAACTCCCGCAACCGTGATACCGTTAAGGGCAATGACGATGTCTGATGGAGGTGTGAGGTCTGAAGGGAGGTCCAAAGGGGCCCAAAGGGAGCATTTCGATGGTTGCACCCGCAGGCTGAGGCTGTTGAGACGAGCTGTAAGTGCTGTGTAGGCAGGAAACACCTCCTGCGCAGGGTCATCCGCGTAGGAGGTGATCAAGATTGCTGGAGATTGTCGCTGAATGGGGCGAATGGCTAGATGCTGGGTAAGGGCGAACAAGAATGGCCCACATGGATCACCCTGTCAAACACCTGATGATGACTGAAGCATTTCGATGAGTGGGCCGCTGCGGTAATGGAGTGGAGAGGGGGAGGCGTAGAAGAGGCGGAAGAAAGGGATGAGGCTGGAGAACGGGGAGTCTCGCAGAGCATTGAACATAGCGGAACGACTGAACAAGTTGAAAGCATTGGCCACATTCAGTTCCAGCACGACCCAGTCTGGGTGGAGAGAGAGGGCTGACTGGACTGTGTGGGCCATAACCTCGATCCCTGCAGAGACAGTGACCCCAAACTGCAGGGAGGGAAGGAAGAAATCCCTAATCTGCTGCTTGAAGTGAAGAATAACGCAACGAGACAGCAAGCGCGGCAGTATCTCGCCGATGGCAATGGGGCGGACGCCTCCTTGCGGCTTCTGAAGGGCGACAAGAGTAGATGCGGTGAAGAACGGCCGGACAGTTTGAGGGAGGGAACGCGACCAATCTCCGCAATGCGCGAACCGCTTGGCCCTGTTCAACCGAGCAAACGTAGATGTGGACCAGGCGGACGATAAATTGTGCGGTCGAGATGCTGGTACAGCAGCAGCGACAGCCTCGTTGAAGAGGGGGAGCCAGTCGCCTTGAATGAAACGGCGCGCATAGGCTGCACATTCCGCCGTAGCTGAATGTGAGGAAGAAATGGTTGAAGAGCGAAGCATGAGTCGGGGGAAAGCGAGGAGGAGGAAATGAGCTGCAGGGTATTGAGGGAAGATGACAAGACGACGAATTGGTATGAGTAAAGCATCCAGGGCCAGCAAGAGGGCTCGCGGCGGGATCCGGCGCAGTAGTGGGCCAGGGGTAACGGTGGGACTAAAGAATGTCCCCCAGTCCCAGCTTATGACAGCTTCCCATGTCTGCTGAGAAATCTGTGGAGGTGCTGAAGAGGATGGGGAGGTAGCGGTGGCACGAGGAGGAGGAGGGCGGGCTGCTTCTTGACGGGCTGAGTCATTGCGGGAGCAAGCAGAGAGGTGACGAGTGTAGCCACCCGAGGTGGTGAAGTTGGTGCGGTTGCAGGTGGAGCAGCGAAATCTCGGGCCCGGAACCGAAGTGGGTGAAGGAGGGGAATCAGTGGCCGCAGCAGGGTGCGAAGCAGGCGTGGAAGCAGGAGGAGGAGAAGAAGCAGGAGGAGGCTGCAAAGCAAGTTCGGCTGCAGGTTCAGGATGGCGAGAGGAGTGTTGTTGGGGAGAGGGTGAAGTGTCTGTAAGGACTTGTTGGAGTACGTTTTTCTGCTCCTTTGAAATGAAACGGGGTGAGGTTGATGATTTGGGGTGTTGAGACGAAGAGGCTGGGGGGTGTGGAGCAGATGATTCCGGCAGTGGCGAGGAAGTGTGTGTGACGGCTGGTATAGTAGGGCAAGATGGTGAGCGTGGTGTCTGTGGAATCGGAAGAGCTGCAAAAGCTGGGGTTGAGCATGACCGATTAGGAGGACGAGATGGGTGCGGGTCCGAGTCTTCAGGCATCCTGTCCCGCTTGCGAGTCAGCAATTTTTTTTTTTTTTTTTTTTTTTTTTTTTAGTGATGAGAAAGAGAGTTGTGCAGTGCAGCTGGCGGTGTGCCCAATGTCACGAATTCGCGATGTCAGCGCAAGCAAATGTACTAACGAGACACAACACGGATATCGTGGGTAGGCAGGACTGGTGGTGCCGCTGCCGAGGATCGTGCTGGTGCTTTCAGGAAACGAAGCAGGTGCAAGTGGGTTCGTGTGTGGGGGGGGTTACTGTTCGAGAGGGTGAGAAGGCTCGCGAACGTGTTGTCTGAATTTACAGCAGAAACCACGCCGTCGCAGGTGAAACACCTGCCCGTGTCAAACGCTGTCGAGACTGCCAGGAGGGCTAAGCTACAGCCCGAACGTGGAGAACCGCTGTCAGGGAAGTGGCGATACTGGTTTCGCGCAGCGTGCAACGGCAGGAAAAGGAGTCGTGCCGTGCTGCAGATTGAGGGGTCGATCGGCGGGCTATGGAAGGCCTCGTAGCCTGAGCCTTTTCGCTACTAGACGTAGGTAGTGAGTTCTTGTTGCCTTACTAGCGCGCGCAGCAAGACGAACTACTAATTTTCGAGAGCTTGAGAGCGTTTTATACGAGCGCCAGCGAGAAAGCGTGCGCAGCAGTCAAACTACTAATCTTCGAGAGCTTGAGAGCGTTTTATACGAGCGCCAGCGAGAAAGCGTGCGCAGCAGTCAAACTACTGATTTTCGAGAGCTTGAGAGCGTTTTATACGAGCGCCAGCGAAGCGTGCGCAGCAGTCATCGCCGCATGCTAACACCAACACCCCTCACGCAATGATGGATTCCATGGTACACAGCACGCCCCAGGCTCACGTTGAGTCCGGGCGTGATAGCGCCGATCGCCACAGCCGACAGCCACCCCATCCGCTCCTCTCCCGCGCCCCCCTGCTGCCGCGGCCGCTCCCTGCCGCCTCCCATGCTGCCGCGCGCGTGCGACTGCTGCTGCTGCGTGAACGACCGCCCCATCCCAAAAATGATGGGAACTGAACCTACTACGAAGCAACTTCTCATTTACTCTGTCGTTGGTGTGGTGTGGAGAAACCAACGTTTCAGTTTCTGGGAAACATACCTAGCGAGGTTGGGGTGTTCCGAACCTAGACATTCTGCCTAGTTACTTGTAGGTGAGAACGAGTGTCTGATCGGCGAGATCACCGATCGCTCACTCGCTACAAAAAATTCGCGCTGGAAACATTGCTCGAGGTGTGTCTCAAGAATGCCGTAAGTACCTCCCACAGACACTTCGTGATTTACGATGCGGATTGCTCGGGCACACTATGACATAGGTGTCGCAGTCTCTTCACAATGCTCAGGGAGAATGTCTAAGGTTTCGACAGACATTGTAACACCAGTGCCATACTTTAGCGTGTACGCTGTCACGTTAATGTGATTCGTGGGTGTAGCCTCATGATGCGAGAGTCTCTAAACACGGTTCCGGCCTTTCTAGTTGAAGCATCACCACCGACTGCTACCATGAGTCCGCCATGGATATTACCGCGCAGCTTCAAACCCAGATCCCGTGTAGGTTCCTTGTCAGTTGGCTTTAAAAACTACAGATCTGGCTTCCTCGTTACAAGGCGCAGCGACCGATACCCTTTTTGTGTCTACACGTCGGACATAGTATCGCTTGCTAAACGAGATCCTGTTTCTTGTCAGGCATCTAACTTCGAGGTTCCTACAGGGTTGCTGCTAACTCCAAGGTTTCGAACTTCTGTACCAAACAGCGATAACAACATCAATGGCTACACTGGTCTTATTACGACTATTACTAACCGTGATCCCAGGGCCTCGACCTCGGTTTCTCACCATCTGCGCCAAGAACAATGGACAAGCACCAATGGAACTTGCCTACTTAACAAGCTCAAGCTAAGAGCAATGGCATCAGTTCCCTCATCACCAATCTGTTTCTCAGCTCTGCAGCTTTCTTTCCTCCATTGTCGCAAGTTGCCTCATAAGGGGAAAGCTAAGGTTCTGCCGGAAGCACCGTCGCTGGATGCTCCACCTCCATCGCCTGCTCCTGCTTCTTCTACGCCTGCAAGCAAGGACAAGGGCAAAGCATCGGTGGATGACTCCAACAACGTGTCTCTTATTGATGCACCTGCTAGCGGATCTAGCATCTCTCTGGAAGAGAAGCTACGCTCTCTTCGCACGACTGTTCTTGATAGCGGCTTCATCGAGGACGATTCTGATGAAGAACTGAAAGTCAAAGTCAAGACGGAGGCTCTTCACCGCGTCCGCTACACGGCGATTCTGGTGTTACATGTGGCTCTCGCGCTGGAAGTGGCGTCGGTCATCACCACTGTGCGGACGCTGTTGAGGCGGGTCTGGGCATCCTCGCTATCTGACGGCGCTTTCGAGTCGGCGAAGTTCCATGAACTCTTTCCAGCATACGTGGCGAAGACCCGGTACTGTCGTCTGCAGGTGTCGCTCCTGCATGAAGACGATATCATGAGCATCAGAACCAAGGAAGTGGACTACACACATCCCAACAGCACGGTGTTTCGACTCTACTGGTAACACACTGATGATCCCGCTTTCGTGCGGGAACGGGCAACAAATCCTCAGGCGGTCGAAGTGATCATCCGCGACGTACCTGCGACGAAGATACCGGAGATGTTGCGGGAGCTGATGGTGGTCTACAAGCTGAGGAACAGGAGGTGCTCTGCGTTCAAGGATGGCGTTTGCTTCCACCGCGTCCTGCACCCGGTCACTGGCGCCGATATTGACATCATCAAGGGATTGGTGATTCCTCATCCAGGAGATAGGCACCGTTGACGTCACGTCTTCGAAGATCTTTCGAAACTTGGTCGCCGGTGCCTGACCTGTCTGCTCTGCAGTGGTCAACATTATGACGTCAACCATGATGCCTTCCTCACGGACCGTAATATTGGGAAATGGAATCTTACCTTGGGAAGGGTGCACCGTATTAATGGTAAGTGCTTTTACTCTTATGATCGTACTCATCATGGCATCTGTGCTTGTGCTAACCTCCAATTTGTACCGTGCAGCCACTTCTCTGCCTGCCTCGCGGCTGATCACACCCATTCTGCTGGACCCGACCATTGTGCTGATCTCTAAGGGAGGCAATCGCGAAGAATGGATCTGCACGCAAGTGGGGTGTGGGAAAGCGAAAGGGAAGAGCTTCATGACGGCGGCCGACCACATCACGTCTGCCAATCATCTCATCCATCTGGAGCAGTTCGGTTCAGCCACTCGTGCCTCTCTCGAAAAGGCCAGCCTCAACATCACCAAGAAGGAATACGGGATCTGAGACTTGTTCAGCTAGGTCATCAGTCGGCAGCAGCAGCGGTAGTTTTTGCAGTAGTCGGTGTCTCTTGTCTTCTTACCCTGTGGATGCGTAGGGGCTATCAAGCTGTTATCAAATGAGTAAAAGAAGCCTCATCAGTTTTGCGGGCCTCAATGTCAACGGCCTAGGAGATCGCACCAAACAGCAGCGTGTCATAGACTGGTCAAGGCAAGCAGCAAACTTAGTAGCGCTATCAGACACAAGGCTAGCCTCAAATCACCCTTCGCGGTCCCACCCTACCTTCAGTCTCGTAGCAGCAGCCACACCCAAGTCGAAAGCAGGCGGGGTAGCCTTGCTCTGTAGTCTCAGCTTCCATAACGTCTTAGTCCATTCCTCGGGTTGACTTATCTCGGCCGAGATCCATGGTCCCGGCCTGCAACTCACAGTCTTAGCTTGTTACTTCCCGGCAAAGGCGAC